ACACTGCAGGAATCTGTGCAGGTGGGCCAGCTGATCAAGCAGATTAGGGCCACCAGTCTGGACATTGGAGTCAATGCTGACATCACCTACTCTCTGGCTGCTGGCAACGAGCAAGGCAAATTTGCTATTGATGCTCACACAGGTAATTTCCATGCATTATGTATTACTTACCTCAAACAGAGGGAATCTGTGGGAATTCCACAGCTGACGGGACAGTCCACTATTTCAAGGTGTGCAAGTGTGCTGCTGCTGTTGATGTTTGCTCTTCTAGTGTTTTTTGGTGTGGCATATTTCTGTCTGTTGGTGCACAGTCAGCTGCTTGTTGATGTCCAGTTGTCTGGTGTACATACTGGTCATGTTTTTCAGATCATTTTGTCATGTAAATGTGTAGCATAGTTGGTATCACATCTGCCTTATAAGATGTGGTTGCGCGTTTAATCCCTACGGGGAAAAGGGGGGGGGGGGGCCCTAAAAAGGGTCAATCATTCTAGATCAGGGCTATTCAACTGGTGGCCCACAGGCAAGATCTGGCCCGCCAAGGCCCAGCAAGGTGATCGCCGATCGTTGCCAAAATAGCAAAGTGTAGTTATTAAAAAGTAAACAAACCCCGCTAAATACTTCTGTTGTGGAAACACACGCCCCACATGATTTTTGCATCTTGCAAACAGACTTTCATCAATTTCAACGGTGGTGTTCTCTCCGCCGATCACTGCAGAATTCAATAACAATGAATTGGCACAACCCTCCCGTAAATAGTTGCTTTATTCTACAGTCGCAGTCGGCAACATGCTAGCTCTTCTTGGCAAAACTGAATGCTTGTCATCTCTTGAGACCAGCAGTATATAAACAGAATGATCTGTCTGTACGGGAGCCGCGACCCTTCCAGCCATGTTCCTTGCCGTAGTAGCATGTCAAGACGACAGGTGGACTTTCTACAGCGCCAACAGTCGTGTCTTTTAGACAGCAATAGCAGCATCTGATGGATGTTTCTGCAACTTCTGGTTCTGTGCAGAATGCCATGCTGTTGCAGGAAGGCAATGCGGCTTTCTTTGTCTTGTACAGATGCAACTAGTTGTAGAAAATTCATGGCGACTGCTGTAATGAACGGCAAACAAAGGTGAAGACTGCTGAAACCATATGTGGCAAAGATGCAGACTGCTGAAACCATATGTGGCAAAGATGCAGACTGCTGAAACCATATGTGGCAAAGATGCAGACTGCTGAAACCATATGTGGCAAAGATGCAGACTGTACACGTCATAAGAGGCATCAAGCTCATGCTTTTGCGATGTAGAAATGGGGAAAAAAAAATCCCCAACCTTACCACCCTGGAAATTATTTGAATGTTATCTGGTGATGTCACCGTGACATTATCCAAGCATATTCTACAGATCTGAAGCAATAAGAACATTGTTGTGATACCCACCCTTTCCAGTAGCTCAGTGTTTGTGATCTTGTCTTGCCACTTCATGCCAAGTACTCTTCTTAGTCAGTGCATGTAAACAGATAACTGCTGACTAAAATAACATAAACTAGACTTCACAGGCTCAAAAACTTGTTTTCCATATCCCGTATTTAAACAGCTATTAGTCGTATATCTTAGACGCTGTTATTCCCTACATCTCATATTTCTAAATTGATTGATCTCTTTGTTTTATATTTGATATCAATTCCAACCAGGCGTACTGACTGTGGCAGAGCCTCTGGACCATGAACTGTCCAGGGAATATTTCCTCACAGTGATGGCCACAGATCGAGGTGACCCACCCCTCTCCAACATGGCCATCATCAGCATCAACATCACAGACGTCAACGACAACCCCCCACATTTCAGCCAAGACTCCTACTCTGTGTCTGTCTCTGAGAGTGTGGAGGAAGGCACCGAGATATTTAAGGTGAACTCTCAGACATCTGCATCTTTGGTCCAGCAGTGACATAACCACTACCACCTTGTGACTGTGACACAGCCACTGCTACCTTGTGACTGTGACACAGGCACTACCACCTTGTGACTGTGACACAGCCACTGCTACCTTGTGACTGTGACACAGCCACTACCACCTTGTGACTGTGACACAACCACTGCTACCTTGTGACTGTGACACAGCCACTACCATCTTGTGACTGTGACACAACCACTGCTACCTTGTGACTGTGACACAGCCACTGCTACCTTGTGACTGTGATACAGCCACTCCTACCTTGTGACTGTGACACAGCCACTGCTACCTTGTGACTGTGACACAACCACTGCTACCTTGTGACTGTGACACAACCACTGCTACCTTGTGACTGTGACACAACCACTGCTACCTTGTGACTGTGACACAACCACTGCTACCTTGTGACTGTGACACAGCCACTCCTACCTTGTGACTGTGACACAACCACTGCTACCTTGTGACTGTGACACAGCCACTCCTACCTTGTGACTGTGACACAGCCACTGCTACCTTGTGACTGTGACACAACCACTGCTACCTTGGGGCTTTGACACAGCCACTGCTACCTTGTGACTTTGACACAGCCACTGCTACCTTGTGACTGTGATGCAACCACTGCTACCTTGGGGCTTTGACACAGCCACTGCTACCTTGTGACTGTGATGCAACCACTGCTACCTTGTGACTGTGATGCAACCACTGCTACCTTGGGGCTTTGACACAGCCACTGCTACCTTGTGACTGTGATGCAACCACTGCTACCTTGTGACTTTGACACAGCCACTGCTACCTTGTGACTGTGATGCAACCACTGCTACCTTGTGACTGTGACACAACCACTGCTACCTTGTGACTTTGACACAGCCACTGCTACCTTGTGACTGTGACACAACCACTGCTACCTTGGGGCTTTGACACAACCACTGCTACCTTGTGACTGTGACACAACCACTGCTACCTTGTGACTGTGACACAACCACTGCTACCTTGTGACTGTGACACAACCACTGCTACCTTGTGACTTTGACACAGCCACTGCTACCTTGTGACTGTGACACAACCACTGCTACCTTGGGGCTTTGACACAGCCACTGCTACCTTGGGGCTTTGACACAGCCACTGCTACCTTGGGGCTTTGACACAACCACTGCTACCTTGGGGCTTTGACACAGCCACTGCTACCTTGGGGCTTTGACACAGCCACTGCTACCTTGGGGCTTTGACACAACCACTGCTACCTTGGGGCTTTGACACAACCACTATGACAGTGACATAACCACTCCTACTCTGGCAATGAATGATCTGGAACATCCTGTAAAACAGAACCAAGACTTGTCCCAGTGATCATGACACTCCTGTTCTGATATTCAATGAGATTGATTGATGTTACTTGAACCATTATTGGTTTCCCAACTGTTGAAGCTATCCACATATTTCTCTGTCTACTTCTACCTGTCTTGTCTAGTTGTTTCCTATAAAAGAAATTTCTCATGGATTTGTCCATCCCCCTCTTCTGTTAGGTGTTCTGTCAATTTTTTTTTTCTTATGATAAACATAGATGCATAAGGTGAGAATTTTAGTGCACATTATTACAACCATGATATTTGAAGTGCACCAGCAACATGGACCTAGGTGAACTGACAAGAGAGTCTGACTTTTAGGTGATGGCCACCGACAGTGACAGTCCACCTAATGCCAAGATCACCTATAGCATCTTGGATGGCAATGTCAATGGTCAGTTCATCATTGACCCACGGGACGGCATTCTTCAGGTCAACTCACCTCTGGACAGAGAGAAGGTCAGTGGTGTGGTATGGTCCTTGTGTGGGTCCTATACTGACTTCAGATGTCCCACTTCTTGCTGCCTTCCTGTTTTGTGTGTTGTCTCCTGTGACTGTGAGTCTCTGCTCCTTTCCTAGACTTCTATTGCTGTTGATCAGGTACCCATTTTTCTTATACTCAATGGTCTCAAGTGTTGCCTAGTATGTTGTACGCTGTTGATTATGTTGCCCTTAAGTTGATGGAGGCTCTTGTTTGTATATGTTTATCACCACCAATGCTTGAATGCTCCTTTGATACTTTGTGTGACAGATCAGCAGCTATTCCATAGTTATTTTAGCCAACTTTTACCCTGTATGTTACTCCATAGTGATTGTAACCGGCTTATACCCTGTATGTTACTCCATAGTTATTGTAGCCCACTTATACCCTGTATGTTACTCCATAGTTATTGTAGGTCGCAGGTCGACCCAGCCTAAAATGGGTACCAGGATGGGCTGTCCTGGGAAAGTAAAGACAGCCGGCGTAATGCTGACCACATTACCCACAGAGTGCTGATGGTCTGTAAAAATATGGGACGCTCTGCCCATATGCCCGATGCGCCAAAGGGCGTGAAAAGGGATCTTTACTTTTTTACTTACTTACTTATACCCTGTATGTTACTCCATAGTTATTGTAGCCCACTTATACACTGTATGTTACTCCATAGTTATTGTAGCCCACTTATACACTGTATGTTACTCCATAGTTATTGTAGCCCACTTATACACTGTATGTTACTCCATAGTTATTGTAGCCCACTTATACACTGTATGTTACTCCATAGTTATTGTAGCCCACTTATACACTGTATGTTACTCCATAGTTATTGTAGCCCACTTATACCCTGTATGTTACTCCATAGTTATTGTAGCCCACTTATACACTGTATGTTACTCCATAGTTATTGTAGCCCACTTTTACCCTGTATGTTACTCCATAGTTATTGTAGCCCACTTATACCCTGTATGTTACTCCATAGTTATTGTAGCCCACTTATACCATGTATGTTACTCCATAGTTATTGTAGCCCACTTTTACCATGTATGTTACTCCATAGTTATTGTAGCCCACTTATATCCTGTATGTTACTCCATAGTTATTGTAGCCCACTTATACCCTGTATGTTACAGATCAGCAGCTATTCCATAGTTATTGTAGCCCACTTATACCCTGTATGTTACAGATCAGCAGCTATTCCATAGTTATTGTAGCCCACTTATACCCTGTATGTTACAGATCAGCAGCTATTCCCTAGTGATTCAGGCCCATGACTCAGGACTGCCCATTTTGCTCAGTTCTGCAGTGGTCAGTGTCACAGTGACCGATGCTAACGACAACGCTCCAGTCTTCTCACAGGATGTCTACTGGGGGCTGGTGCAGGTGAGAGTCATCCAGTCTGTCTTTCACAACTACATGCACTCAACATGTGTGCCCGGGCGTGCCTGTGTGTGTGAGCAAGCATGCACTCAACATGTGTGCCCGGTCGTGTGTGTGTGTGTGTGTGATCGTGCAAGCATGCATGCATCTATATGTATGTATGTATGTGCATCTGTGTGTTTGTATGTGTGCATGTGCGTGTTTGTTTCATCTCTTCTGCCAGCCTGTGTTTCTGTCAAATCTGTCTTTCTTGAAGTGAAATGTTTGTTTTCCAAGGATAATTTGTCCTTTCAAGACACCAAGAAACACATATACACATAGAATGTGCATTTTGAAGCAAATATTCTGGCATATTCTGGCATTTTGTGCTTTTTCTGACATTGTTTATTGGACTTGTACTTCAGACTCACATATGACCTAGGATGTTTGCTATGGGAACTTTCAGATCTCACACAGTTTGTCTGTAGCTGAGGACCTGAACTATGCTACCAGACAATCCTATAGAACACACTCTACTAACTGTGCTACCAGAGTTGTGGATAAATGACACTCCTATGGAACACACTCTACTAACTGTGCTACCAGAGTTGTGGATAAATGACACTCCTATGGAACACACTCTACTAACTATGCTACCAGAGTTGTGGATAAATGACACTCCTATGGAACACACTCTGCTAACTGTGCTACCAGAGTTGTGGATAAATGACAATCCTATAGGACACACTCTGCTAACTGTGCTACCAGAGTTGTGGATAAATGACACTCCTATGGAACACACTCTGCTAACTGTGCTACCAGAGTTGTGGATAAATGACACTCCTATGGAACACACTCTGCTAACTATGCTACCAGAGTTGTGGATAAATGACACTCCTATGGAACACACTCTGCTAACTATGCTACCAGAGTTGTGGATAAATGACAATCCTATAGGACACACTCTACTATTAAGCTTGGTGAAGCACGTCTTTGCCTACTTCGAGGTAAAGGCAGGAGAGACTATAACCAACTCATTATGGGAACAAAAAGTAGAGGTACCTTGGAGTGGGTGCTGCATCAGAGGACTAGGCAAGTATTGGGATGCTTAATGTGCAAAGATGTTCATTGTAACAACATCACACACACACCAGGACATGCACACACAGATACACCTGCAGACACACAGACAAACACACAGGCACATACAGACACACACACGCATACATATCCATGCACGCACACACATGCACACACACATACAGATGTACACACAGACAGACCCACAGACACACAAGGCAAACACCCACACACACACACACATACAGACAAGGACACACGGAGCCACATTCGAGACACAGAAAAGAATCCAGACCACCATGTGCTAGCTAGTCACTCATGATTAAAGTAGCTGCCCATCACGACCCCACAGAGGTCAACACACAGTTACCACAGCAACCGATGTAGACACTAAAGACACCATCCCCCATCAACAAGCAGGACATTCTTCCCACAGTAACCTGTTGCCCACTCACTGCAATAGTTACACACAATATTTTCTCAGTTGTCTTGTCTTATGAATGAGGAATGACAATAATACCTTGTGACCAAATGTAAATAATACAGACTGTATAAAGTCAAGAGCTGAACATTTCAGCCCAAAGATAGATCCTGTAAACAATGTAGAATCCCCTGTAAACAATGTAGAATTCCCTGTAAAGAATGTAGAATCCCCTGTAAACAATGTAGAATCCCCTGTAAACAATGTAGAATCCCCTGTAAACAATGTAGAATCCCCTGTAGACATTGTAGAATCCCCTGTAAACAATGTAGAATCCCCTGTAAACAATGTAGAATGTCCCCTGTAAACAATGTAGAACCCCCTGTAAACAATTTAGAATCCTAGGCAACATTAAATAAAGTCCCAGTGCAATCCCAGGCAACATTAAATGAAGTCCCAGTGCACCACAGCACACCACCACAGGGCACCACCACAGCACACCACCACAGGGCAGCACACCACCACAGGGCAGCGCACCACCACAGCACACCACCACAGCGCACCACCACAGCACACCACCACAGGGCACCACCACAGCACACCACCACAGGGCAGCACACCACCACAGGGCAGCGCACCACCACAGGGCAGTGCACCACCACAGGGCAGTGCACCACCACAGCACACCACCACAGGGCACCACCACAGTACACCACCACAGGGCAGCACACCACCACAGGGCAGCGCACCACCACAGCACACCACCACAGGGCACCACCACAGCACACCACCACAGGGCAGCACACCACCACAGGGCAGCGCACCACCACAGGGCAGCGCACCACCACAGCACACCACCACAGGGCACCACCACAGCACACCACCACAGGGCAGCACACCACCACAGGGCAGCACACCACCACAGGGCAGTGCACCACCACAGGGCAGTGCACCACCACAGGGCAGTGCACCACCACAGGGCAGTGCACCACCACAGGGCAGCACACCACCACAGAGCATCACCACAGGGCAGCACACCACCACAGCACACCACCACAGGGCAGCACACCACCACAGGGCAGCACACCACAACAGGGCAGTGCACCACCACAGGGCAGCACACCACCACAGAGCATCACCACAGGGCAGCACACCACCGGGCAGCGCACCACCACAGGGCAGCACCACAGGGCACCACCACAGGGCAGCACACCACCAGGCAGCACACCACCACAGGGCACCACCACAGGGCAGCACCACAGGGCACCACCACAGGGCACCACCACAGAGCATCACCACAGCACACCACCACAGGGCACCACCACAGAGCAGCACACCACCACAGGGCAGCACACCACCACAGGGCAGCACACCACCACAGGGCAGCACACCACCACAGGGCAGCGCACCACCACAGGGCAGCGCACCACCACAGGGCAGCGCACCACCACAGGGCAGCGCACCACCACAGGGCAGCGCACCACCACAGGGCAGCGCACCACCACAGGGCAGCGCACCACCACAGGGCAGCGCACCACCACAGGGCAGTGCACCACCACAGGGCAGCGCACCACCACAGGGCAGCACACCACCACAGGGCAGCGCACCACCACAGCGCAGTGCACCACCACAGGGCAGCGCACCACCACAGGGCAGCGCACCACCACAGGGCAGCGCACCACCACAGGGCAGCGCACCACCACAGGGCAGCGCACCACCACAGGGCAGCGCACCACCACAGGGCAGCACACCACCACAGGGCAGCGCACCACTACAGGGCAGCGCACCACCACAGGGCAGCACACCACCACAGGGCAGCACACCACCACAGAGCATCACCACAGGGCAGCACACAACCGGGCAGTGCACCACCACAGGGCACCACCACAGGGCAGCGCACCACCACAGCGCACCACCACAGCACACTACCACAGGGCGTTGCACACCACATTTGTGTTGCACTTGATTTCAGTTCCTTCTCTCTCTATCTCTTCCAATCAGCACTAACACAGTCTGTCAGTATGTGTGTAAAACATGTGCTTAATTTCTGTTTCTTCTCTTTGTTTTGTTAATATGAAAAACACGCTTAATCTCTCTGTTTTTGTGTATATGTAAAACATGTGCTTGATTTCTCTGTTTTTTTCTTTCTGTTTCTGTTTATATGTGAAACATGTGCTTATTCTCTCTGTTTCTTTTTTCTATTTCTGTTTATATGTAAAACATGTGCTGAATTTCTCAGTTTCTTCTCTTATATATAAAAATCAATGTTTATGTGTTTGTTTATGAGCTATAGACTCGGGAACTACTGAACCGATTTAGCTAAAATTTTTAGGATATGTTTGTTTTGATACCGGATGTTTACCCATCATGGTTTGAAATTCTACCTGTCATTGTTAGAGACAGTTGACCACATTTGTTGGAAAAATCTTCGAAACTAATATTTCCATTTTTTAGTGACATTTAATTATAGCCACGTTAGTAAATGTGCATGTGCGATCGACTTTCACAGTGCATGCGCAGTAGGCACAGAACGCTCTATTTTTAACATCCGCCCGTACAGCAAACCAGACTATCTCTTTATGGCTGATTGCGACGTTAGCCATATTAGACACGATTTTTTTCTTTTCAAACAACCTTAGATGAGTTAGAGAGTAGTCGGTGGATTTGAGAAAGGGGAAGAGAATGGGGGGGGGGGGGGGGGAGGGAATTATGTCTGCGCAGACAATGATTGCAACATTTACCGTGTTAGACACGTACGATTTCTATTATTGTGCCGTTTCAATAATACTTGAAGTTTATATCTGGGATATCTGTTAATGAGAAAACAATTGCCTGCGGTTTTGAGTTGTGTTAGAATCGGGACACAAATCTTGGGTAGTTCTTATATGTTGCGTGTTCTAAAGTGGCAAACCAGACTATCTTTATATCTGTGCAGAGAATGATTGCGACATTAACTATATTAGACACATATGATTTCTATTGTCTGTCTTTTCCAAAAGCCTTTGATGAGGGAGCGAGAGTAGGTGGATTTGGGAAAAGTGGGGGCGGCGGCGGGGGAAGGCATCGAAGACTCCCAGTATGTGCGCAGACAATGATTGCGACTGTAACCATATTAGACACGTGCGATTTCTATTTTCTTTCTTTTCCATTTAGCCACACTATGCCACAGCAACACGCGGCCGGGTACAGCTAGTATATATATATAAAAATATAAATATATATATCCCCATTTTATATCACCCCTGAACAAGAATTCCCAGATGAGGACTGTACGAAATATTTTCTAACATCATTTATCATTGGGGAAAAGTCCATTACCCTTGTAATAGTAGCACACAGTTGTTAGACCCTATTTGTGTGGAAAATCAGAGTGTATTGTACTAAACATGATAGCTTTCCTCCTCAACGATCTGACAGATTTCTCTAACCTTGCTGTCAGTTCTGCAGATGGATTCTCTGCTTGATTAAACAACAAATATGATAGATAGACTGCACAGAAATCTGACAGATTTCTCTAACCTTGCTGTCAGTTCTGCAGATGGATTCTCTGCTTGATTAAACAAAAATATGATAGATAGACTGCACAGAAATCAGTTCCCAAACTAGCCCCTCATAATTTCGTCATAACATCATCACTCAGTTTGTGCCCTAGCCACCCTGTCTGACTGTGTTGGCTCACTTTAATGAGACTGCTAACACTCCGAGGTAGCAGCCAGCTGGTACTGATATTCAGTGGCATACAATGTCAGTAACTGTCTTCCACACAGGAGGGTCGCAGGACTGGTATAGAAGTGGTTACTCTCAGTGTCTCTGATGCTGACCTCCCTGAGAATGGGCCACCGTTCGTGTTCCACATCATTCAAGGCAACGAGAATGGGGAGTTCCATGTGGATAGTGCTGGGGTCATCAGTACGGCTGGCAGGTTGTTCAAAACTGTCCAGGAGAAGTGAGTCTTGTTATATTATGGTACATTATATATGTTACGTTACATCAGTCACATTATGTTATGTTATGTTTTCACTTTGATTGTGACTGCCCATTTAACAGTGCAGCAATGCCTAGCATATCATATTACAACATCTAGTTTGAGAATGGAGGTAGAGGTGGCCACTGCAGCCTTCCGTTGGCTTGAGAATCAGTGGGACAAGCAAACTGGGATTGCAACTAACTCACAGGATATCCTGAGAAAGGTTAGGACAGGTATGCTTCATGCAGAGTGGCACACATGGCGTCAGAAATCCAGGGTAGTTAGCATCACTTTGGTTATTCTCTTCAGAGTATGTGGGTATGTTGGGAAATGAACAGGTGGACAGATTAACTGGCTCTGCAACAGTTGGTAAACTGATGCACAACAAGCTATATTTTACCACGGCTCTTTGGGAGAGAGTGAACAGTGCGGAACCACATTTAGATTATCGCAATATGAATAGAAAAGTACAGCCTATCGGATCTTAGAGGAGAGGTAAGATGGACTTACAAGCAGACTGTTACTGGTACCATTGGGGTTGGAACTCCTTACTGGTGCTGTGGATGGGGACAGAGCACTTATGGGAATGTCCCAAGTGCTGTGATGTCGGTTTAAAACTCAATTCAATGTTGTTGTTGTCACATTGGACTACAGTCATGGAACACTGTCACATAGGGGCCAACATTTCACTGTCATTATTCCTCTAGAACAATGATGTGGAGGATCCTTGCTGCATATTGGTGATCAGAAAAAGTTATAAACATATTGGAAAGACTCTATAAAGGATACAAAGGCAAAGTGAAAGTAGGACTCGTGGAAACGGAATACTTTAGGGTAAAATCAGGAGTCTAACAAGAGTGCATTCTGTCACCTTTCTTGTTTCTCATAGTGATAGATTATGTTAGGAAGAAAGCAACTACAGTCCCATAGTCGGGCCTTCAATGGAAATTTCTTAAACACCCGGAACAGTTGTATTTTTCAGATGATATGTGTGTCATCAGCCAAAGTGAAGAACTTCTGCATCAAAAGACAGATAAGGTCACAGAAATAGCAAAACAGGGTAAATGAGATCACATAAATAGCAAAACAGGGTTAAGAATCAATTTTAATAAAACAAAACTGCTGGAGATAAACCCCAAAAGTGAAAGACCTCTAGTAATAGATAGTGTAGGTTTGATAACAGTAACTGACTTCACTTACCTCGGAAGCAATATCTCCTTGGATGGGAAGGTAAAAGCTGAAATCAAGCAGAGAATTGCAAAGGCAAATGCTGCTTACAACAGACGTCAGAGTGTCTGGATATCAAACATCTACAGAAAGATAGAGAGTGTGTTCGGAGCACGGCTAATCATCTGGAGCTGGACATACCCAGAGGTACTTTGAGGTGAACCTTTGAGGCTGAGCTCAAGGTTATGTGAAAAGATGGAACTGAAGATAGAGAGGATGGCTCAGGATCGAATTGAGTGACTAAATTTGTTCTCTGCTTCAAGTGTCTTTGGGCACAACAAGGATTTTTTGTTGTTGAATCCTTTTGTTATGAGCATTCTTGTTTGATTAGTCCTAATCTTAGTTGAGGTTTCAACTTCACTGCAGTCGGGTTTCCCCTTATTTGCTTCGTTCCTGTGCCAGTGCAAATCCAATGGAATGTCCCTCAGTGTCCCATTTGACAAACTTGGGAACAAAGAGTTAGTCCCAACACAATCCAGTAATATCTGCACACAGTTAATGCATACAGCAGTTTCTAGAGATGCCAAAGCCAACATTCACCATCGGAAACGCAGTTAATCGTTGATGAAGTTGTCAGGCACGATGAGATGACTATACACACATAGAATTATTACATCAATTATTTCACCAGCCCACACATAATATGGCTACTCTCCATATTGAAAACCACGACACAACCGATGCACAGATGAAAGGCATTCCACATGAAAAACACAGCTCACAGGGCTACACCAAGCACTAAACTCAGTAGCTCAAGAAGCGATGTAGTCTTTCCTATTCTACACTGGCAGATATAGAGAGATTTTTAAAATGTAGTGTTTCCTATTATACACTGGCAGATATAGAGATTTTTAACATGTAGCGTTTCCTATTCTACACTAGGAGATATAGAGAGATTTTAACATGTAGTGTTTCCTATTCTACACTGGCAGATATAGAGAGATTTTTAACATGTAGCGTTTCCTATTCTACACTAGGAGATATAGAGAGATTTTAACATGTAGTGTTTCCTATTCTACACTAGTAGATATAGAGAGATTTTAACATGTAGTGTTTCCTATTCTACACTAGGAGATATAGAGAGATTTTAACATGTAGTGTTTCCTATTCTACACTAGTAGATATAGAGAGATTTTAACATGTAGTGTTTCCTATTCTACACTGGGAGATATAGAGAGATTTTAACATTTAGTGTTTCCTATTCTACACTGGGAGATATAGAGAGATTTTAACGTTTAGTGTTTCCTATTCTACACTGGGAGATATAGAGAGATTTTAACATGTAGTGTTTCCTATTCTACACTGGGAGATATAGAGAGATTTTAACGTTTAGTGTTTCCTATTCTACACTAGGAGATATAGAGAGATTTTAACGTTTAGTGTTTCCTATTCTACACTGGGAGATATAGAGAGATTTTAACGTTTAGTGTTTCCTATTCTACACTAGGAGATATAGAGAGATTTTAACGTTTAGTGTTTCCTATTCTACACTGGGAGATATAGAGAGATTTTAACGTTTAGTGTTTCCTATTCTACACTGGGAGATATAGAGAGATTTTAACATGTAGTGTTTCCTATTCTACACTGGAAGATATAGAGAGATTTTAATGTTTAGCGTTTCCTATTCTACACTGTCTACACTGGGAGATAAGGAGAAATTTTAACGTGTAGTCTTTTCTCTTCTACCCTGGGAGATGTAGTGAGATTTTAACATGTATTCCTTCCTCTTTTACCCTATAAGATATAATAGAGAGATTTTAACATGTAGTCTTTCCTCTTCTTCCCCGGGAGATATAGAGAGATTTTAACATGTAGTCCTTCCTCTTCTATCCTGGGAGATATAGAAAGATTTTAACATGTAGTCTTTCCTCTTCTTCCCCGGGAGATATAGAGAGATTTTAACATGTAGTCTTTCCTCTTCTACCCTAGGAGATATAGAGAGATTTTAACATGTAGTCTTTCCTCTTCTACCCTGGGAGATATAGAGAGATTTTAACATGTAGTCTTTCCTCTTCTATCCTGGGAGATATAAAGAGATTTTAACATGTAGTCTTTCCTTTTCTACTCTGGGAGATATAAAGAGATTTTAACATGTAGTCTTTCCTCTTCTATCCTGGGAGATATAAAGAGATTTTAACATGTAGTCTTCCCTCCTACCCTGGGAGATATAGAGAGATTTTAACATGTAATCTTTCCTCTTCTATCTTGGGAGATATAAAGAGATTTTAACATGTAGTCTTTCCTTTTCTACTCTTGGAGATATAGAGAGATTTTAACATGTAGTCTTTCCTCTTCTATCCTGGGAGATATAAAGAGATTTTAACATGTCGTCTTTCCTCTTCTACCCTGGGAGATATAGAGAGATTTTAACATGTAGTCCTTTCTCTTCTACCCTGGGAGATATAGAGAGATTTTAACATGTAGTCTTTCCTCTTCTACCCTGGGAGATATAGAGAGATTTTAACATGTAGTCTTTCCTCTTCTATCCTGTGAGGTATAGAGAGATTTTAACATGTAGTTCTTTCTCTTCTATCCTGGGAGATATAGAGAGATTTTAACATGTAGTTCTTTCTCTTCTACCCTTGAAGATATAGAGAGATTTTAACATGTAGTCTTTCCTCTTTTACCCTGGGAGATATAGAGAGATTTTAACATTTAGTCTTTGCTCTTCTAGCCTGAGAGATATAGAGAGATTTTAACATGTATTCTTTGCTCTTCTAGCCTGAGAGATATAGAGAGATTTTAACATGTATTCTTTGCTCTTCTACCCTGGGAGATATAGTATAATATCACATGGACACTGTTAATAAGGTGGAGAAATGCTAAATATTCAGTAATTGTTCACATCCACATTTATTGGTTGAATGTTGAATTAAGAATTGACATCTCAGCACTCGAGACACTCCCATAAGTGGCTGAGTCTGTTGTCCATGTTGATGTGTCTCTGACAGTGTGTCTTGTGTTGTGTCTGTGACAACTTGTCTATGTTGATGTGTCTCTGACAGTATGTCTTGTGTTGTGTCTGTGACAACTTGTCCATGTTGATGTGTCTCTGACAGTATGTCTTGTGTTGTGTCTGTGACAACTTGTCCATGTTGATGTATTTCTGACAGTATGTCTTGTGTTGTGTCTGTGACAACTTGTCCATGTTGATGTATCTCTGACAGTATGTCTTGTGTTGTGTCTGTGACAACTTGTCCATGTTGATGTGTCTCTGACAGTATGTCTTGTGTTGTGTCTGTGACAACTTGTCCATGTTGATGTATCTCTGACAGTATGTCTTGTGTTGTGTCTGTGACAACTTGTCCATGTTGATGTGTCTCTGACTGTATGTCTTGTGTTGTGTCTGTGACAACTTGTCCATGTTGATGTGTCTCTGACAGTATGTCTTGTGTTGTATCTGTGACAACTTGTCCATGTTGATGTATCTCTGACTGTATGTCTTGTGTTGTGTCTGTGACAACTTGTCCATGTTGATGTGTCTCTGACAGTGTGTCTTGTGTTGTGTCTGTGACAACTTGTCCATGTTGATGTGTCTCTGACTGTATGTCTTGTGTTGTGTCTGTGACAACTTGTCCATGTTGATGTGTCTCTGACTGTATGTCTTGTGTCTGAGACAACTTGTCCATGTTGATGTGTCTCTGACAGTATGTCTTGTGTTGTGTCTGTGACAACTTGTCCATGTTGATGTGTCTGTGACAGTATGTCTTGTGTTGTGTCTGTGACAACTTGTCCATGTTGATGTGTCTCTGACAGTATGTCTTGTGTTGTGTCTGTGACAACTTGTCCATGTTGATGTGTCTCTGACAGTATGTCTTGTGTTGTGTCTGTGACAACTTGTCCATTTGATATGTCTATGAGGACTTGTCTGTGTTTATGTGTCTGTAAAAAAACTTGTCTGTACTGTTGTGTCTGTTAACTACTTATTGACTGCCCCCAGATATCAGTTAACAGTCAGAGCATTCGACAGTGGGAAGCCTCCCTTGTACTCGGATGCAACTGTTCACATTGAGGTTGTGGATGAGAGCTTGTATGCTCCAGAAGTACATGATCTGTCCATCACTATCAGGTCCTGCCTTAACAGTTTTCCAGGAGGAGTCATTGGCCACATCAAGGCCCAGGATCGAGACCCCCACGACAAAACTGTGTTCAGCATAGTGTCAGCAAACAGCCACCTCTTTGACATTGACCGCTATGATGGCAGGCTGGTGGTGGTATCCGGCCTGGACGCTGGGTCCTACATGGTCAACATCAGTGTGTCCGATGGCAAGTTCACCAGCTATAGTCAAGTGGACATTGTGGTCATCTGTGCCAGCAAAGAGATGCTGGACAATTCACTAACTATCCAATTTGAAAACATGGTGGAGGAACAGTTTTACTTCAACTTCAGATCTGATTTCCAGAACTTGTTGAAGCAAGAGCTGGATGTCCGGGTCAGTGATATTGAGATCATTAGTGTCCAGCCCACAGCAGAGAGCATCTCCAACACCCACAACAGACCCTCTCAGCACAGAAGGAGAAGCATCAGCAGCAACCTGGATGTCCTCTTTGCTGTCCGCAAGTCTGCAGACAGATACTACAACAAGAGAGCTCTGAAACGCAAGCTGGACAGAATACAAGGCAGGATAGAGAGTGTCCTGGGAGTCAAGGTGGCCAGGATCTTTACAGACACCTGCAGCCAGTCATCCTGCCAGGTTGGCACTTGTGTGGGCAAGGTACACTTTGATGAAGGATCCTTGGTGCCGGTGTCTGTAGATGGAGCCAGCTTTGTGTCAGCTCGCCACCGATACATGGTGCAGTGTGTCTGTCTGGGGGGTAAGTCAGGATGTGATCTCACAGAGTTTGTGCGTGTGTGCTGGGTGAGAGGTGGTGGGGATGTAAGACTGTGATGTTATTTCATCTTGTTGCAGCGTATGCGCGCACGTGTGTGAGAGGGAGAGAGAGAGAGAGAGAGAGAGAGAGAGAGAGAGAGAGAGAGAGAGAGAGAGAGAGAGAGAGAGCCTGCCTGAAAGATAAATCCTGATATCTTCTTAGAATGAATGGATGTGTGGATGTAGATGTGTATGTACATTGTATTTATGTGTTGATATTCATACATACGTTGGTTTTGATGCATGATCTTTCCTCTGTTACCATTTATGACTTTTAATTTGTCTTCACTTTTCTTTCTCTTCGCTGTTTTTCTAATGTTATCACTTTTGTTAGCCCTCGATCTAGTGTTGTTATAATGTGATCTCTCACCCTTGATCTTTTGTTGTCCTAATGTTGCCTGCTGATGTAATGTAGGTTAATGATGTCTCCTGATTCTGGAACCACCAGGTGACTGCACTGAGAAAATCTGTGGTGATACAACATGCACGGCCAACAAAATCTGCCAGAAGAATGCTTATGGAGACTACAGCTGTCAGTGTCCTGAGGGACGCACAGGAGACATGTGCACCACTGTGATCCCATTGTGCAGTGGTAGTGCTTGCCCTATAGGTACAACCCTGGCTGCTTTCATGTTTGTGTGTCTGTCATTGAGTGGACAGGAGAATCCTCCAGCATGCATCCTTGATGGCTGAGATATTGCCATGACTCTCTCACCATTGATTCAGTCTCATGTGTCACAGTCTCATAGTTCTTGTACTGGGCTAACATTTGACATAGCAGCAATCAGTCAGTAGCATCTGACTGTCTCATTGTTGACTTATCATTGTCTTACTGTTGACATGCCACTGTTTCAACTCTTGAGTTCACATGCCACTGTTTCAACTCTTTGACTTGACATGCCACTGTTTTAACTCTTTGACTTGACATGCCACTGTCTTAACTCTTTGACTTGACATGCCACTGTTTCAACTCTTTGACTTGACATGCCACTGTTTCAACTCTTTGACTTGACATGCCACTGTTTCCACTCTTTGACTTGACATGCCACTGTCTTAACTCTTTGACTTGACATGCCACTGTTTCAACTCTTTGACTTGACATGCCACTGTCTTAACTCTTTGACTTGACATGCCACTGTTTCAACTCTTTGACTTGACATGCCACTGTTTCAACTCTTTGACTTGACATGCCACTGTTTTAACTCTTTGACTTGACATGCCACTGTTTCAACTATTTGACTTGACATGCCACTGTCTTAACTCTTTGACTTGACATGCCACTGTTTTAACTCTTTGACTTGACATGCCACTGTCTTAACTCTTTGACTTGACATGCCACTGTTTCAACTCTTTGACTTGACATGCCACTGTCTTAACTCTTTGACTTGACATGCCACTGTTTCAACTCTTTGACTTGACATGCCACTGTCTTAACTCTTTGACTTGACATGCCACTGTCTTAACTCTTTGACTTGACATGCCACTGTTTTAACTCTTTGACTTGACATGCCACTGTTTCAACTCTTTGACTTGACATGCTACTGTTTCAACTCTTTGACTTGACATGCCACTGTCTTAACTCTTTGCCTTGACATGCCACTGTCTTAACTCTTTGACTTGACATGCCACTGTTTTAACTCTTTGACTTGACATGCCACTGTCTTAACTCTTTGACTTGACATGCCACTGTTTCAACTCTTTGACTTGACATGCCACTGTTTTAACTCTTTGACTTGACATGCCACTGTTTTAACTCTTTGACTTGACATGCCACTGTCTTAACTCTTTGACTTGACATGCCACTGTTTTAACTCTTTGACTTGACATGCCACTGTTTTAACTCTTTGACTTGACATGCCACTGTTTCAACAACTCTTTGACTTGACATGCCACTGTCTTAACTCTTTGACTTGACATGCCACTGTTTCAACTCTTTGACTTGACATGCCACTGTTTCAACTCTTTGACTTGACATGCCACTGTTTTAACTCTTTGACTTGACATGCCACTGTTTCAACTCTTTGTCTTGACATACCACTGTCTTAACTCTTTGACTTGACATGCCACTGTTTTAACTCTTTGACTTGACATGCCACTGTTTCAACTCTTTGACTTGACATGCCACTGTTTCAACTCTTTGACTTGACATGCCACTGTTTTAACTCTTTGACTTGACATGCCACTGTCTTAACTCTTTGACTTGACATGCCACTGTCTTAACTCTTTGACTTGACATGCCACTGTTTCAACTCTTTGACTTGACATGCCACTGTTTCAACTCTTTGACTTGACATGCCACTGTTTCAACTCTTTGACTTGACATGCCACTGTTTCAACTCTTTGTCTTGACATGCCACTGTCTTAACTCTTTGACTTGACATGCCACTGTCTTAACTCTTTGACTTGACATGCCACTGTTTCAACTCTTTGACTTGACATGCCACTGTTTCAACTCTTTGACTTGACATGCCACTGTTTTAACTCTTTGACTTGACACGCCACTGTCTTAAATCTTTGAGTCTCAAGGAACACATTGTACACTCACTGGTTACCACCCAGCAGCCCAATCGGCACGTAAGATGTCCAGGTATTTAATTGACAACCGGCCAGTATGAAAACACAAACAGGCAGTGTGAGTGGTATTTCCTGTTGTTTGTGTTCAGTTTGGTTTATTTGGACACAAGGGGAAAATCATGAAATATAGCATGTGTGTGAGCTTAATGAGTTAGTGTCTTTGTGTAAACAATATGGTCTCCGAGCGGACTTCTTCATCCATGCCAACAAGATGTATGCCCCTAGTTTAAATACACATGTTTCTCAGAATTATCCAGAACTAGACAAAGAAAGATACAAAGTAGACTTGAGTCAGTCATTAATGGAATCAAACTTTGATGAGCGAAAGCTCTAATCTGTGCCTCGTGCAAAGCCTACAATGATATCAAAAGTCAGCTAGCATTAAGATTTTAAAAACAAAAATAGTTAAAAATGTGATTTTCTTCAGTGACAGTTGGGTCTAGTGTCATTCCTTTATTGTTATTTATACACTACAAAATAGTTTACATTCATTTGTGATTGTTTTGTGTGCAATATATTTGATCCAGTTTTCCGTGAGGATAAGTAGACAAATTATTAATTTATTTTTCTGATTTCTCTAAACATGTCGTCTGTTTACGTTAAAATATTCAATTATTAACACAATTATCTGTTGTAGCAGTATTCTAATATTATTCTCTTTGATGTACAAATGTGTATGTTGCCTGGCAGCTAAATTAGTTTGTCTGTTTTATTGGGCTTCAATTGTTACATTTCAAAACTGTGTTACCACCCCTTGGGCCTCTGATACTAAACCCTCAAAGAGTTAATAGTGATGTATCTCTATGGCAGCATTGTTGTAGCTAGCACAGAGTGAATAGTGATGTATCTCTGTGGCAGCATTGTTGTAGCTAGCACAGAGTTAATAGTGATGTATCTCTGTGGCAGCATTGTTGTAGCTAGCACAGAGTGAATAGTGATGTATCTCTGTGGCAGCATTGTTGTAGCTAGCACAGAGTTAATAGTGATGTATCTCTGTGGCAGCATTGTTGTAGCTAGCACAGAGTTAATAGTGATGTATCTCTGTGGCAGCATTGTTGTAGCTAGCACAGAGTGAATAGTGATGTATCTCTGTGGCATCATTGTTGTAGCTAGCACAGAGTTAATAGTGATGTATCTCTGTGGCAGCATTGTTGTAGCTAGCACAGAGTTAATAGTGATGTATCTCTGTGGCAGCATTGTTGTAGCTAGCACAGAGTTAATAGTGATGTATCTCTGTGGCATCATTGTTGTAGCTACTACAGAGTTAATAGTGATGTATCTCTGTGGCATCATTGTTGTAGCTACTACAGAGTTAATAGTGATGTATCTCTGTTGTCAGCATTGTTGTAGCTACCACAGAGTTAATAGTGATGTATCTCTGTGGCAGCATTGTTGTAGCTACCACAGAGTGAATAGTGATGTATCTCTGTTGTCAGCATTGTTGTAGCTACCACAGAGTTAATAGTGATGTATCTCTGTTGTCAGCATTGTTGTAGCTACCACAGAGTTAATAGTGATGTATCTCTGTTGTCAGCATTGTTGTAGCTACCACAGAGTTAATAGTGATGTATCTCTGTTGTCAGCATTGTTGTAGCTACCACAGAGTGAATAGTGATGTATCTCTGTTGTCAGCATTGTTGTAGCTACCACAGAGTTAATAGTGATGTATCTCTGTGGCAGCATTGTTGTAGCTACCACAGAGTGAATAGTGATGTATCTCTGTTGTCAGCATTGTTGTAGCTACCACTTAACTGCTATGTTGCTGCCTCATGATTTATGTATCAAAATTATCAATATTATATTATCAACACCATACAACATATCACTGTCTCCCCATGGACATATCACTGTCTCCCCATGGACATATCACTGTCTCCCCATGGACATATCACTGTCTCCCCATGGACATATCACTGTCTCCCCATGGACATATCACTGTCTCCCCATGGACATATCACTGTCTCCCCATGGACTTTTCACTGTCTCCCCATGGACATATCACTGTCTCCCCATGGACATATCACTGTCTCCCCATGGACATTTCACTGTCTCCCCATGGACATATCACTGTCTCCCCATGGACATATCACTGTCTCCCCATGGACATATCACTGTCTCCCCATGGACATATCACTGTCTCCCCATGGACATATCACTGTCTCCCCATGAACATTTCACTGTCTCCCCATGAACATATCACTGTCTGTCCATGGACATATCACTGTCTCCCCATGGACATATCACTGTCTCCCCATGGACATATCACTGTCAAAGTATGTGTGTGAATTTATGTGTGTTTGCAAGTATGTATGTATGCTTGTAAGTATGTGAGTGTATGTATGGATGTGTGTATGTATGCATGTGTGTGTGTGCGCGCGCATGTCTGTCTATGTAAATGTGTGTTTATGTTCATATGTTGATGTATGTTTGTATTATGTATGCATGCAGATTTAGCTTATGTATGTACACATGTGTATGTGTGCGTATATGTATGTAGGTGCATGTATGTATTATGTATGACTGTATGTATGAGAATGTATGAATGTAAATGTGTAAGTATGTGATTGTATCTGTGTGTGTATATTTATGTATAATGTGGGTGTATGTAGGTATATGTAGCTGTGTAGGTATGTGGGTGTTTGTGTATTTATAAAAGCATACAAGTGTGCATGTGTGTGTGATTGTGTGTGTATGCATGTGGATATATGAAAGTATATTTAGGTATGTATGTATGTGTGTAAAGATGTGAGTTTAGGTATAAATGTGTGGATATATGTATGCATGTGTGTGGGTGTATGTATTCATGTAAGTGTAAATGTGTGGTTTTGGGCATATGTTGGTGACTGTACATGTAATGGTATATGTGTGTATGCATGGGTGCATGTATAGATGTGTATATATGGAATGCGTGTGTGCATGTATATCCATAAATGTATGTGTGTGTGTTTTCTGTTTGTGCATTTATTTCTGTGTATGTGTATGCTTGTATATGTATGTAGATGCAGATGTGTATGTATCACGTATGTCTGTATATGAGTTCACCAGTATGAAAATGTAGATGTATGTATACGTGTGTGTGAGTGTGTATGATGGCGTACACACGATGTGTGAATGCATTATATATTTCTTTTTAAATCCATAACATGCATTATTGATAACAGGTATTAGTACTCTGAAAAATGAGTACTTAGAAGGGCCGAATGTCAGACGGGCCTGCGTGCCCAATTTGTAACCCTTTGAAAATAAAGTTTGTTCGTTCGTTCGTTCGTTCGTTCCCCATGGACATTTCACTGTCTCCCCATGGACATATCACTGTCTCCCCATGGAAGTCCTGGAAGTCTTGCTGCAGCTGGAATATATTTTAAAAACAATTCTGCCATTTGTTGACTGCTAGTTATGCATCATTGAACCTCCCCTCTAGAGCGACCTATGACCTTTGCTGGGAGAAGCTATGGCAGGTGGAAGCTGGAACACTCCACCAAGACCAGGTTCTCCCTGAGGTTTCGAATCCGCACCAGACAGTCCTCAGCCATCCTCATGTCTGCCAGAGGCCAGCTGGACTACAGTATTTTACAGGTAGGACATTCTCATGTCTGTTCCTGACAGGTAGGCCATTCTTCTGTCTGCCTGTAACAGGTAGGACATTATTATGTCTGCCTCTGACAGGTAAGACATTCTCATCTTTGATAGATACAAGTTGGACTACAGTATTTGACAAGCAGGACATTCTTATGTTTGACAAGCAGGACATTCTTATGTTTGCCACTGACAGGTCGGACATCTGCCTCTAACAGGTAGGACATTCTTATGTCTGCTTCTAACAGGCAAGACATTCTTATGTCTTTCTCTAACAGGTAGGATATTATTATGTTTACCTCTGACAGGTAGGACATTCTTATGTCGGCCTCTAATAGGTTTCACATTCTTATGTCTGCCTCTAACAGGTAGGACATTCTTATGTCTGCCTCTAACAGGTAGGACATTCTTATGTCTGCCTCTAACAGGTAGGACATTCTTATGTCTGCCTCTGACAGGTAGGACATTCTTATGTTTGCCTCTAACAGGTAGGACATTCTTATGTCTGCCTCTGACAGGTCAAAAGCTTTTGAGAATCACCGAAGCTTTAACAATAAAAATCAACAACCCCTTCCTTTGTATTTATCGTAAATTTGAAGTTACCCTGGTAAGTCACGTGACTATGGTGAGCTTCCAGCGGCCATGAAACACACACAATGTATCGGAAGAAACTATTCACATTTCAGTTGGATTTATTCAGTTTTGTGCTTTATTTTATGTTGATGTAACTCTATAGTAACGCACCTGATGAGATACTGCGAAAAATGCCTGGCAATAAACTGTGCAATGTATTGTTTGTATCCACATTATTTAAATTCTTATCTTTGCTAGAAGCAAGTTAGACTACAGTATTTGACAAGCCGGGCAAGTGTTACAGAAAATTGTTTAGGTGAAGGGTACATGTGTTTGATTTTGTTCCAACAAATTGATCTGGTATATGATAACATTTGATAGGGTGAATGAAGGCTAGATTAGCATATCATGTTAATTGTTCTTATGTCCAGGTCAATTTTTTCTTGTCTTTTTGTCAATGCTCCCGTGTATGTGTCTATGTTCTCATGTCTGTATCATTATTCTTGTGTCTGTGTCAACGATCTCATGTCTCTGTCAATGTTCTCATGTCTGTGTCATTGTTTCTATGTCTGTGTCAACGTTCCATCAACGTTATCATGTCTGTATCATTTTCATATTTCTGTGTTAATGTTCTCATGTCTGTGTATTTGTTCCCATGTCTGTGTCAGTGTTCTTATAAATGTATCACTGTTCCCATATCACTGTCAATATTCCCATGTCTATGTCAGTGTTCTCAAGACTGTGTCAATGTTGTTTTGTCTACGTCAACAGCTGGAGAGAGGGAATCTCCTGTACAAGTTTGACTGCGGCAGTGGTGAGGGACAAGTGAAGATTCCGGTGGACCTCAGCGATGGACAGTGGCACACCATCCAACTGGACAGACATGGACGGCAAGCAGAGCTGGCTCTGGACTCCTCATACACAGCTGTCGGGGTATCTCCAGGCATCCACGCTGTCCTTAATGTGGACTCGGAGGAGATCTTCTTTGGGGCTGAGGTGGATGTTTTCCCCAACGGCTACCCAGACATTCGTCGTGGCTTTGAGGTGAGATCACACCCACACAAGATCCCGTCTGTCTACAGACATCTCACCCACATAAGATCCCGCTCTCCTACAAACATTTCATCATCATCCGCTGCACTGACAGGTGGCATGGGTAATGTCTTTGCAGGTCAAAGTCCTTGATATTCTGAATCCACTCTGTGGATGATATTCATTGATACCACCATATGAAATGATCCAGTAGTGTACCTCTCAGATACCACCATATGAGATGATCCAGTAGTGTACCTCTCAGATACCACCATATGAGATGATCCAGTAGTGTACCTCTCAGATACCACCATATGAGATGATCCAGTAGTGTACCTCTCAGTGCTGTCCTCTCATGATCAGACACACAAATAGTTTTTTATCCTTGCTGAAATTGTCTACAGTGTTCCCTCATCCTCATAGAATATCTTTGTTACGGCTATTGTCTTGTTATTATTGTTATTTGTCTACAGTGTGCTATATCTTTGTTACAGCTATTGTCTTGATATTATTGTTATTTGTCTACAGTGTGCTATATCTTTGTTACAGCTATTGTCTTGATATTATTGTTATTTGTCTACAGTGTGCTATATCTTTGTTACAGCTATTGTCTTGATATTATTGTTATTTGTCTACAGTGTGCTATATCTTTGTTACAGCTAGTGTCTTGATATTATTGTTATTTGTCTACAGTGTGCTATATCTTTGTTACAGCTAGTGACTTGATATTATTGTTATTTGTCTACAGTGTGCTATATCTTTGTTACAGCTAGTCTTCTTCTTTCGTTCGCATGTTACAGCTAGTGTCATGATATTATTGTTATTTGTCTACAGTGTGCTATATCTTTGTTACAGCTATTGTCTTGATATTATTGTTATTTGTCTACAGTGTGCTATATCTTTGTTACAGCTAGTGTCTTGATATTATTGTTATTTGTCTACAGTGTGCTATATCTTTGTTACAGCTAGTGTCTTGATATTATTGTTATTTGTCTACAGTGTGCTATATCTTTGTTACAGCTAGTGTCTTGATATTATTGTTATTTGTCTACAGTGTGCTATATCTTTGTTACAGCTAGTGTCATGATATTATTGTTATTTGTCTACAGTGTGCTATATCTTTGTTACAGCTATTTTCTTGATATTATTGTTATTTGTCTACAGTGTGCTATATCTTTGTTACGGCTATTGTCTTGATATTATTGTTATTTGTCTACAGTGTGCTATAGCTTTGTTACGGCTATTGTCTTGATATTATTGTTATTTGTCTACAGTGTGCTATATCTTTGTTACGGCTATTGTCTTGTTATTATTGTTATTTGTCTACAGTGTGCTATATCTTTGTTACAGCTATTGTCTTGATATTATTGTTATTTGTCTACAGTGTGCTATATCTTTGTTACAGCTATTGTCTTGATATTATTGTTATTTGTCTACAGTGTGCTATATCTTTGTTACAGCTAGTGTCTTGATATTATTGTTATTTGTCTACAGTGTGCTATATCTTTGTTACAGCTAGTGTCTTGATATTATTGTTATTTGTCTACAGTGTGCTATATCTTTGTTACAGCTAGTGTCATGATATTATTGTTTGTCTACAGTGTGCTATATCTTTGTTACAGCTATTGTCTTGATATTATTGTTATTTGTCTACAGTGTGCTATATTTTTGTTACGGCTATTGTCTTGATATTATTGTTATTTGTCTACAGTGTGCTATATCTTTGTTACGGCTATTGTCTTGATATTATTGTTATTTGTCTACAGTGTGCTATATCTTTGTTACAGCTATTGTCTTGATATTATTATTTGTCTACAGTGTGCTATATCTTTGTTACAGCTATTGTCTTGATATTATTGTTATTTGTCTACAGTGTGCTATATCTTTGTTACAGCTAGTGTCATGATATTATTGTTATTTGTCTACAGTGTGCTATATCTTTGTTACAGCTATTGTCTTGATATTATTGTTATTTGTCTACAGTGTGCTATATCTTTGTTACAGCTATTGTCTTGATATTATTGTTATTTGTCTACAGTGTGCTATATTTTTGTTACAGCTATTGTCTTGATATTATTGTTATTTGTCTACAGTGTGCTATATATACTGCTAGTGTTGATATTATTGTTATTTGTCTACAGTGTGCTATATCTTTGTTACAGCTAGTGTCATGATATTATTTTTAATTGTCTACAGTGTGCTATATCTTTGTTACGACTAGTGTCTTGATAATTTGTCTACAGTGTGCAATATATTTGTTACGGCTCATGTCTTGATATCACTGTTATTTGTCTACCGTGTGGAATATCTCTGTTATCTCTAGTGTCTTGATATCACTGTTATTTGTCTACCGTGTGGAATATCTCTGTTATCTCTAGTGTCTTGATATCACAGTTATTTGTCTACCGTGTGGAATATCTCTGTTATCTCTAGTGTCTTGATATCACTGTTATTTGTCTACCGTGTGGAATATCTCTGTTATCTCTAGTGTCTTGATTTCACTGTTATTTGTCTACAGAGTGCTATGTGATTGTAGTTAAAGGCATTGACTTCATCTCTTGAACTTCCATTGTTGTTGTTTATCTCTGTTAAGTTCTGGATCTTTTATTTTATTTTTATTACACATCAGTAAATGTTTAGCTTTAATAACAGCCACAGGACTACAGACTTAGACACAAGGTGAGGGGGCGCAGGGGAAACCACTAAACACATGGATCAACTCAACATGTTTCCTAACACTGACAACAGTGTCGTGGGGAACTAGTCAACTGGTCTGTCCACTATCACACATCCATGCTAGAATGTGGGGAACTAGTCAACTGGCCTGTCCACTATCACACATCCATGCTAGAATGTGGGGAACTAGTCAACTGGCCGGTCCACTATCTCACATCCATGCTAGAATGTGGGGAACTAGTCAACTGGCCTGTCCACTATCTCACATCCATGCTAGAATGTGGGGAACTAGTCAACTGGCCTGTCCACTATCTCACATCCATGCTAGAATGTGGGGAACTAGTCAACTGGCCTGTCCACTATCTCACATCCATGCTAGAATGTGGGGAACTAGTCAACTGGCCTGTCCACTATCTCACATTTATGCTAGAATGTGGGGAACTAGTCAACCGGCCTGTCCACTATCACACATCCATGCTACAATGGTAATCTATCTCTTATTGGATTATTACAAGTTAAAGAGCCTTTTGGGAACCACCCTATCCATGTGTGGTTATCAATCATAACATATCATAACATATCATAACATTACATAACACCATTGGAATGTAGAATTCAGGCATAATAAAAATCTGTTATCATTCTAAACTGTGAATATGTTGATATAATGCCTCAGATCACCTAACTGTGAATATGTTGGTATAATGCCTCAGATCGACCAAACTGTGAATATGTTGGGATAATGCCTCAGATCACCTAACTGTGAATATGTTGGGATAATGCCTCAGATCACCTAACTGTTACACAACCTATTAGCTGGTTTGTTACTGGCTATATTTAGACAACGTATCCACATCTCTTCTCTCATCCACACGTCATCTCTCATCCACACATCTTCTCTCATCCACACATCTTCTCTCATCCACACATCTTCTCTTATCCACACATCTTCTCTCATCCAGACGTCATCTCTCATCCAAACATCTTCTCCCATCCACACGTCCTCTCTCATCCACACGTCCTCTCTCATCCACACATCTTCTCTCATCCACCCGTCTTCTCCCATCCACACGTCTTCTTTCATCCACATGTCTTCTCTCATCTGCACGTCTTCTCTCATCCACACATCTTCTTTCATCCACACATCTTCTCTCATCCACACTTTTTTTCTCATCCACACATCTTCTCTCATCCACACGTCTTCTCTTATCCACGTGTCTTCTCTCATCCACGTGTCTTCTCTCATCCACGCATCTGCTCTCATCCACACGTATTCTCTCATCCACATGTCTTCTCTCATCCACATGTCTTCTCTCATCCACACGTCTTTTCTCATCCACACATCTTCTCTCATCCACACGTCATCTCTCATCCACACATCGTCTCTCATCCACACATCTTCTCTCATCCACACGTCTTCTCTCATCCACACGTCTTCTCTCATCCACACATCTTCTCTCATCCACACATCTTCTCTCATCCTCACGTCTTCTCTCATCCACACGTCTTCTCTCCACACATCTTCTTTCATCCACTTTCAAACCTTAACCTGTCTAGCCACTAGATGATGTGATACTTTCCCTAGTCTTTTCCACATGTGATGTTTGCCACATGAATAGTTTGGTTACTCTTGAACCCTTTTTTCATTTGGCAGCAAAATTGAACACTTTCAATAGAAATAGACTATACCTATTTAATCATGTTTTCTCATCAATCTTGCTCAAGTCACCTCACATTTTCATCAAGTCACCTCACATTTTCATCAAGTCACCCCACATTTTCATCAAGTCACCTCACATTTTCATCAAGTCACCCCACATTTTCATCAAGTCACCCCACATTTTCATCAAGTCACCCCACATGTTCAGTACTTTCTAACTGTGGTAAGTAATCAACCAGCATGTAGTTAGATTTGTTGAATGTTTTGTTTGTTTAAATAAGAGTTTTCCTATGTTTACAGACACCTAGTATACAGCTAAATCAGGGTTTTCCAGTCAACATTTTCATTAATGTGTGCCTATTTTGTCAGTGTCTCTTCTAATTTCTATCTTACTCTCAGACTACAGTCACAAACACACAGTCCATTGTCTCTTTTGTTATTGTCATTATGGAATCTCAATTAGCAGACATGTTAAGAAATGTGAACGTAGTTGGAGACTTGTACATACCTGTGAACACAGGTGGGATTATTGTGTAATGTGACAGCATGAACTACTGGAGCTAACAGTGTCACATGAGTGTTGCTTCCACCTTGTATATGGCTTGAATATCCTTGTCTCTGTACGCCAGGGCTGTATGGAAGATATCCGGGTGTTCAGCATCCCACTGCCGGTGAC